TTCATTTTGCAACTTTAAAAATCTAAATTTTAATTATTAAGAATTAAATTAATTATCAATAGAGAGAATTTAACTTTAACATTGGTTGACCAAAAAATGTTGACTTTGCAAATCAATTTGAGACGAAGGGAGTATTATTATTATTACTAGTGTTACCGTTTATTGTTTGTTTACGGTCTGTTACCGTTTATTGTTATTATTATTGTTATTGTAAAAGAAATTATTGTTATTGTAGTTTAGCGTTATCATTTTCAACTTCCTCACCATTATCATTTTATTTTATTTTTAAAAATGTTACTAAATAGAATTTATGAACAAAAAATATAACTAGAGTGACTCAGAGTATGTTTCCATAGTCACTAAAATGTAAAATTTAGTATAGTCACTAGGAGTTATTAACTCATTTTTCTGTCCACTATTTTACTTTGATCATATATTAGATATTATTTTTTTTATTAATATTAATATTTAACCATTAAACTAGTTTTTGCAGTTCTAAATCTTTGTGCAATTGGTAACTTTGTACTCTGTATTTGTTAGATTTAGGACTCAACTATTTTTGTTGTTGTTAAAAGTGAGAAAATATGAAGTTTTTTAATACCAATATTTAAAAACTACATTAAAATATGTAAAATAGGTCTAAGAAATTTAAAATAAATGATAAAAATCAAAACGCCTTTTCATGCCTAAGTGCCGCCTAAGCCCGCCTAAGCTTCAAAGGCTTAAGGCTTGGTCGTGCCGCCTCGGCACGCCTTACGTCTTTTAGAACATTGTTAAGGGGTCAAGGGGGTCAGTGGACCCGGCTGGAATTTCAGAAAGAAAAAAAAATTTGTTTTTTAAAAATAAAAGAGCATCGTCTTATTAGCCTAAAAACCCAAAGAAGACTGCCCTGTCTTCCTGAAGCGATAGAAAATACAGACCCTTCCGCGAACCCAGAGCTAATCCAGTTCAGCTCCAATTGGCCATTCGCCGTCTTCTACGCTTTCCACAGCCCGCAGAGCCGCATAGGCTCACGCAGTGTTCTTCTCCCGACCGGAAGACCGCATCGCACTTTAGTGTTCTTTCTCCAACCAGCCACCCCTTCTTTTTTCTTCCCGGTTTCAACTATTCAAGCTTCAAATAATTGTGAGTTGCAATTTGCAACCTTGCAGGTTAGTTTCTAATTAGACGTATGGAGTTTGAGTTGCAAGTTAATTAGACTAAATTGAAAATTAAACTCAAAATTGCAGTTTGAGTTGAAAATTTACCAAGTTTAGTTGCAGGTTAATGGTGATAATTAAGCTCGTACTACATTTCATTGCAGAAGTTGCTCTTTTTAATTCATGTTTATTTTATTGAGTTTGATAAGGTTAAAATGGTTCTGGAGGTTTGTTCCTGACCAAGTCTTTAGCTATTTGTTAGGGAAGTTGAATTAGTGGGTTGTAACCCCACGTTTGTAGTTTTTTCAGTTTGCTATTCCCCTTTATAAGGAAATGTCAACAAATACTACCACACTACGGCGTAATCATGTGCGCCCGTATACTCTTTATGTTTTATTTAACCTTCTTTTCTTGGAACTTCTTTGTATTGATACTATTTTTAGTTTTTAAATAAATTATGCCTTTAGTTTCTAACCCCGCTGAATCAAATTCCTGACTCCGCCCCTGTGCAGAGGGATGTGTAATACTTGTGTGGTTTTTTTCGAAGGGTGTTCCAATCTTCTTCTTTTTTAGCAAAACGTCTAAACACATATTTCTGGACATTGATTTTTTTGCTTAATATTTACTCTCTTCCCTTTGTTTATGTATTTGGTGATTTATAAATTGTGATTTTAGCCAAACTATATTTTGGTATGTAGATATAGTTTTTGTACTCATCCGTTTTTTCAAACTTTTATTTATGTATTTCAATGTTTTAAAATTGGATTACAAGAGTTCTGTTAGTGAATTTGTTGTTAAGCCTGTTTTTTTAAGTTATATAAACCATGAACTCATTTGCGATATAGCATGGATAGTGTACTATGCGTTTATTCTTGCGTAATTGGTATTAAGTTTTTCTTCTCTATTGTTATTTAATACTCATACGAAGTATAATTTATTTTATTTTACAGGGTTTGAATGCAGATCACATTTAATTGGAAATAAGTTTGAATTAATTGTTACTCAGTGTTTGCATTTCAGGAGTGTCACTATCATTGCATGTTGAAGACAAGGAATGTTTGACTTCACATGACCACAAACACACTTAATTCATGTGTAATTTTATTACATACTCGTATTTGAAATTTCCAAAATACATTCAACAATACACAGTGGCGGAACCAGGGGTGGGCGAGCCGGTGCCGGCGCCACCCCTTCGTCGGAGCACTTAAGGTATATATATGGTCTATTTATTCCGCCGCCCCTGGAGCTTTCATGGGTTTTCAGTGCCAACGGGACTGGTTTGCTTGAGCTGAAGGAAGACAACGACCTAATTTCGTTTATCTTTTAAAATTCATTTTGTCAAGCGGCGACGTTTCCTTGAATAAACAGAAAAAGAGAACAATAAAATGAAACGACATACTCCGTATAATAAACGACATCCGTATAATAAAAGGACGTGGAGTCGTGGAATACATACGGAGTAAGTGATAACTGAATGAATTGAAAACGTCAATAATATACATTGACTCGTCGCCTCTTTGAGTCCGTGCTGAGTGCTCCTTAGGGCTTAACCGCTTATGTGTTCTGTTTTCTAATTTTCCGGATGTTTTCATTTGGACGGTAATTTGCTGTCTGGTTTGGTCTAGTCTGAGCTGGTCTGGTCTGGTCTGATCTGGAACTGAAAATAATCTAAGTAAAAACATCCTAATTATATTTGCTTTCAGATGAAAACATTGAACTTCATAATACTTTCAATTTAGACAATCAGACCTATTTTTTGTAAATATTTTCAGCACCCTCTTGAAAAAAGTTCTGGTTCCGCCATTGACAATACATATTTAAATCAATTTGTTGTCCTAACCATTTGCAACTACCGTATGTTCTCGGTGCATTTACAAATAAAATTCGTCCAGCCAAACATATGTGTTTAAAAAATTATAAAACTGAAAATTTTACCATCTTCAATCGCGACTACTATTTCCCGCATGAAGTGTTCTTCTTGGGTCCAGCCATAATTCGTCCAATAATAGGAATTCTTATTGCAATCTTCATTGATGGCTAAAAACGCTGACTTTCTTGGACTTGCACGGATATTTCCGTGCACAAGGGTTCGACTATCTCCACCAAGCAACTCAGATGCATTACAATGAACTCTGTCTGCATCTTTCCATTTTTGGATTTGCTAAACATGGTCAATCAGAATTTCATTTGTGGGTCAGCGAAATTTTAGGGATATGCTTCTGATCCGTATTCTCGTGGCTAGGCCTGGCCGGACTCGGGCCGGGCGGACCGAACCGGGCCCGACCCGGCCCGCTCACTGTAGCAACCGGCCCGACCCGGCCCACCGGGCCTCAGGCGGTTCGGGCCTACCCGGACCGGGTGCAGGGCGGTCCGGGCTCGGGCCTTGATTTTCTTGAACCGGCCCGGCCGGGCCCGAGCCTAACGGCTAATTTTTTTTTTTAAAAAAAAAATATTCTTTTTCAATTATTTTTTGGCCTTGGTCTTTGTCAAACGGCTATTGTAGCCGTTGGGGCTGTTTGGGAGCCTCCAAACGGCTCTATAGCCGTTAGAGGGGGGTGGGGGGAGAAAAAAAACTATTTATACTCCTATTTTCTATACATTTTTTACACCTTCTTCATACAATCCTAATCTCTAATTCTCTACTCTCTAATTCTCTATTCTCTCAATCTCTAAAATCTTCATTCATCTCCATCTTCATCTTCTATTCTTCTCCAATTATCTCTACATATATATTATTTATATAAATATTATTATATCTACTTATATATTTATTATCTACTTATATATACATATATTACATTACTAATATTTATTATCTACTTAATATATATTTATTATCTTATAATTAGCTACTTTACATATATATATATTATATAACTTATATTCCTTATCTACTTAATCTCTACTTATTATTAATTTATTATATCTACTTATATATTTATTATCTACTTATATATACTGATATACATATAGTACTTTACTAATATTTATTGTCTACTTAATAGTTAATATATACTTACTATCTTCTTAAAGTAGATAATTTGATATCTAATTATCTACTTTATATACATATATTATCTTCTCCCTATTCATCATCAACCAATCGGCCAATCCACCAAGGTACTCTTCTCTTCTTTTATCCATTAATGGCGTTATATTCAAGTAGTTAATTTGTTGCATTATTCATTAAAGTGTACAAGTAGTAAATTTAAACATTTTAATTAAAGTATAAAACTAGTTAATTTGTTGCATTTCTCATTAAAGTGTACACCTAGTAAATTTAGACATTTTAATTAAAGTATAAAACTAGTTAATTTGTTGCATTTTCCATTAAAATGTAGAAGTAGTTAATTGTTACATTTTAATTAAAGTATAAAACTAGTTAATTTGTTGCATTTCTCATTAAAGTGTACACCTAGTAAATTTAGACATTTTAATTAAAGTATAAAACTAGTTAAGTTATTGCATTATTCATTAAAGTGTACAACTAGTAAATTTAGACATTTTAATTAAAGTATAAAACTAGTTAAGTTATTGCATTATTCATTAAAGTGTACACCTAGTAAATTTAGACATTTTAATTCAAGTATAAAAGTAGTTAATTTGTTGCATTTTCCATTAAAATGTAGAAGTAATTAATTGTTACATTTTAATTAAAGTATACAACTAGTTAATTTGTTGCATTTCTCATTAAAGTGTACACCTAGTAAATTTAGACATATTAAAATATTTGATATACTTTTATATTTGTTAAGATGGAGCGTGGTAGACATTCTTTGGATATCAGAAATCTCCAACGCAACCGAAAGAAGGAGATTGCGAGAACTCATCCTAGTTTGCGCAAAAAAAGCGGGCAGTCCGGATCTTCTTCACAAAGTCGATGGGAGGACGAACCGGAATACCAACGGCGAGATGGCGAAAGAATGTCCGACGAGCAACTACAACAACTATTGGCTCAAAATCCTCAATTTTTCCATCAACGAGACATCCCGGACGATATTCACACCATTGACGAAGAAGAGCTCGAGGATGACGATCCGGAGGAGGACGCGGGGGGCGCCGGGAGTCACGGCACCCCGGATGAGGAGCAAGAGGCGGAGGACGAGGGTGGTTCATCCCAAATAGGTACGAAATCTAAATCTCCTATTATAGAAAATAATTTTAAAAAGTATAAAGACCCAAGCACCGAGAAATGGTACGTAAGTTGCAACCATTGCGATAAGGTGTACAGTTTGGGAACTTCGGGCGGATACGGGAGCCTCAAAAGGCATCTTATGGGCAAGCACAAGGTGGAGTACGCAAAAATTGAGAAAGGCAAGGGGAAGCAAACACAAATATCGAGGTTTGCAAATAACCAACCTTATGGTAATTTCTCATACAATGATCAACAAAATTTGATTGGTATGGCTAACTTTATGGTTGAAGAAAATTTACCTTATTTTTTTTCTGAAAGTGTTTCTTTTAAAGAGTATGCACAAACTTGTTTAAATCCTCAATTTCGAAGTTATAGTCGAAAAACGGTTAAAAAAAATTATAAGGCTTTATAAGGCGGAAAAGTTGAACTTACAAATTTTTTTGCAAACTATGATGGGCGTGTTACTGTTTGTTCTAACATATGGGAGGACACCTATCATAATTTACATTATTTGGGTTTGACTGCACATTATGTTGATGATGATTGGAATTTGCATAAACGTGTTCTTGCTTTTCGTGAATTTAATGATCGCCACACCGCCGAACATATTTATATTTTGATTGAGCGTATTTTAATTGAGTATAATTTGGTTAATAAGGTGTTTGCTATAGGTTATGATAATGCTACTAATAATACTGCTGCTATACCTAGATTGCGTGAATTGTGTGGTTCTACTACTTTGATGGGTAGATTTTTTCATCAACGATGTGCATGCCATATAATAAATTTATGTGTGCAGGATGGTCTAAAAGCGTTGAGAGATGCTATGAAGGTAGCGAAGGGGGGATTAGACGTATTTGGGCTAATGGTCAACTTAGATTAAAATGGAAAAATTATTTGAATGAAAGAAATGTGAAATATGTTGCTTTTACTAAAGATTTGTCTATTCGGTGGAATAGTTCTTATAAATTAATTAGAGTTCTTATTAGATATAAAGAACATTTTCCTGCTTTTTTAAAAGAATATGATAACTACATTTTAAACTCCGCTCACATCGACACTTGCGAAAAAATTTGTAATGTTTTGATATATCTTAATAATGCAACTGAAAGTTTTAGTCATGTTTATAAACCTACTTCAAACGAATTTATTCGTGAACTTGTTAATCTCGCCGGTGCTTTTAATGAATTTCAAAATGCCGATTATGTGAGCTATTTTTGTAGTTTTATGAAGGAAAAGTTTTTAAAATATTATGCACATATTCCGCATATTTATGGTATTGCATTTATTCTCGATCCTCGTTATCGACTTGGTAATTTGGAACAATGTTACAAGTTCTATTATGAATCTTTTTATGGTGATTTTCCAATGTATGAAGATAACCCTATAGATCCGCAATCTGAATACAACGAGGTTAGTAGTTTATTTTATTCTTTATTTAATGAGTTTCGTGCACAATATGGCAACGCGCCCCCTCCCCCAACCCAAACATCTTCATCTAAAGGAAAAAGACTTTTTAAATCTGCATTTGGCAATCTTATGAAAAAAACTAAAACAACGCACACTACTGAACAAAGCACAATTAATGAGATTGCTTTGTATACTAACTATGAGGTTGAGTTTGTAGAAAATGAAGAATTTGACGTCCTAAAGTGGTGGAAGTCAAAAGAAAGAATGTTCCCGATTTTAGCACGGATGGCTAAGCAAGTACTATCAATGCCGGTTTCAACAGTTGCCGTGGAACAAGAATTTAGTTCGGCCGGCAACGTCCTAACTAAATCGAGAACGTGTTTGAGTGCCGAATCTCTTGAGACGCTTATATGCTACCACGATTGGTTGAAGGCAAGACGTAGAACTCAAGAACTTAGCATCACCCCCTCCCAAGACGCTTATATGCTACCACGAGTGGTTCTACCTATGCCGGGGATTCCGATTGATTAGTATTTTACAATTTATTATTTTATCCTCAATTCTCTATTGTAATTTGTCAACTTGTAGATTTGTAGTTCATATTTCAAATCAATAAAAGTTATATTTTTTTATATGTCGCATTTCTCAAATCAATCAAGTTACAACTTACAACTTACAACAAATTAATTATATTATATTATTATTACTTAATACAAAATGTATTAGAATTAATTGTTCTCAATTCTCAAAATGTACTTATTACTTATTTCACATAAATGTACTTCAAGATTGTTTTTAATATCCAATATTCCAAGTAGATGTATAAGACTATAAGTTAAAAAAAAAAAATTATTCAAGGCCCGACCCGACCCGCCGGTTCACCCGGCCCGGGGCCCGGCCGGGTCACCCGGCCTGAACCGGCACCCGCATACAGGCGGGCCGGGCCCGGGCCTTACATTTCCGAACCGAGGCCCGGCCGGGCCCAGGCCCGAACCGGGCCCGAACCGGCCCGAGTCCAGCCCTACTCGTGGCTGATTTATTAAAAATGTCAATTTAACTTGCTATCCATGTTGAGTAATCGTGCATGTAGCTAGGTTGTTCAATTGTTTTTAATTCCCTGCATTGCACCACACGAAATGCTACGGTGGATTCTATATGGACAACCTTTGATCTGCCAGATTTGGACGCACATGATGCGTTTGTATTTTGTACGGGAAGCCTAGTTTGTATGTGATTTCTTCCCTATATATATATATATATATATATATTTAGGTTTAAGTGAGAAAATCATCTTAGGAGAGAAATAAGAATGATACTAGTATACTACACCATTGGATCAAGTTATTTTTTGAGATCTTTTTCTCCAACGAAGAGGGTTAAACTTGTGATTTTGCATATCTTACCATTCTTAACGGGACTTCAATTATTCAATTATACTTCTACAATTACGTTATCCAAGTTCTTTCCTTTGAAGTTAATAAGTACTCCGTACTTTTACATTAATATTGCTTGAATCTTTTACTGTTTTACCAATTAAAAATTACAAAAAGTGAGATTTTTTTATTTGAATCTTTTCTTTAAAATAAACTATTTTTTTATCCGCTACTTTTTTGATTCAACAATCATGCATTTATTTTCATTTGGATACGTTTCATTTAACATTTAGTATCATGCTTTGCATTAATATATTAATTTTTTTAATATAAATTATTATAAAAATCATATTTAGAAAATTGACTTTGAGATACATTAAAAAAAATTGTAATACATTAATAAATATTGTCAAGGTAGATTATGTGAATAGTGTAAAAGGCACAAACATATGAACAAATTGAAATAGATGTATTATCACGACAAGCAGTTATGCACCTTGAAAGTGAATAAAGTGAAATTCATTTTATTAAAGAAATCAGATCACGGAAGTGCACTTTTATATATATTTAAAGACACCGCTAACATTTCACAATTTTGTGCACTATTCATATACTAGTGTGCACTTGTGCTTAGAATTGCATATGTAAGTAATTGTGCACTTATAGCATTTTGACCATGACCATTTAGCATTCAAATTTTGCAATTTTGAGATATAAAAGGAATTCTAGTCTTACCAACTTTTGATTAAACATATACATTATTGTACATATACTTACGCTTAAAGTGCATATTACTTTAATTAATAAAAGTTGTAATATAAGTTGATATATACTAGTATGTTGTAGTGCCTCAAGTATAAAAGTGCATTTACCTATGATTAAAGTGCATAGTACTTTAATTAATTGTGCAGACAAATTTGATTGCACTATTATATCTATCCGTTACATACTAATAGGTTTAGAACATATATAAATTGCATAACACTTTCACAAAATGTGCACAAAAATTCTCTTGCACTCGCACATACTCATAACATGTTTTAAAATGTATTAGAGAAAGATACCAATCTAACAATTTTAATATTATATAAAAAGTGCATTGTGCCTTAAATAAAATTGCATTAACTTAAGTATAAAAATGCACTAAAAAAATATAAATAAAAGTGCATTGTGACTTAAATAAAAGTGCATTAACTTAAGTCTAAAAATGCACTAAAAAAGCACTAAGTACACAAACTAATTTCTAGCATGAGTAAACTATACATGAGCTTTTAAAGGTTGTATTCAATGATCCGACATTTTTAATTGGAAAGTATCTACGTAGCATTGAGAAATTCCAAACTAATTGAACTTTTAATGGAAATAAATTTAAGAGCACGATTTGTGGGATTAGAGCATTTTACTTTCTTATCCTCACTATTCATACACGTTGCCTTTATGATTAAGATGACCCTTGAAAGTTACACTTAATTACTAAAATACTAGTCATTTATGTTCAATCTTGACCAATGATCTATACATCTAATGGCTGGATTTTATTCTCATTTCTCTCATGGGACTTCTTTCGCACAGGAACCAATCCCTTTATATATATATATATATATATATATATATATATATATATATATATATATATATATATGGAGCGGTTCCGGTAAGAACAGATCTTAGGAGAAATATGAGAACGAATCTGGACCGTTGGATTGTATTATGTGGAATGAATCTTAGGAGAAAAATGAGAACAAATCTGGACCGTTGGATTGTATTATGTGGAACAAAATTGTGCATTTGGTGAAACTGAAATGTGCATTAAATGATATTGAAATGTGCAAAATAAAAATTTAAACTCAAGTGTGCATTAGATTAAACTGATATGTGCGAGAAAAAAAGTGCAAAAATAACATCACATCGTACTTTTTATATTGCACATTTCAGCTTAACCCAGTGCACATTTCAATTTCACGTAATGCACAATTCAACTGCACATAATTCCACTCTATCGTACCCTTTGTGATGCACATTTCAATTTCACCTTATGCACATTACACTTTCATCTAATGCACACTAAATTTCACTTGAAGCAAATCTAACGGTCCAGATTCGTTCTCATTTTTCTCATAAGATCGTGTTCTTATTTGAACCAAAACTTTATATATATATATATATATATATATATATATATATATATATATATATATATATATATATATATATATATATATATATATATATATATATAGGATCAAGTGAGAAAGACATCTTAGGAGAGAAAAGAGAATCATTTATAGCCTTTAGATCAAATTTTAGTTTAAATTTCCGTTTTTCTTTCTAAAGGGTAAATGAGATATTTTCATATCTCCTTTATTGCATTTATTACATCCTAATCTATTTAAGTAGTTACGTATAATGTTTCTTTCCTTTTCAGTTTTTCGCTTTCTTTCATATATATATGTATTACGTTACTTTCACTTTCAATAATCATCAACCGTCCGCATGATTTAATCCAGCGGATGTTGTTGGTTTGTAGGTTAGCACCTGAAGCTTGGTTTGCATGGGATCTCACCCCGGCCTATGTATACATATATATACATATATGTGTGTGTATATATATATATAGACACACACACACACTATGCTTATTGTGCAAACGCTTGTACGATGCATCTTTACGTTATTTGTATTGCATATTGAACTTCAAAGTGTTGCATATTATTCAATCATCAAATAGCAGTTGCATATTGACGCTCAAAGAGTTGCGTCCTAAGAAGTTGGCTTTTATTACAAAAATGCCACATTGCCTTTATACCCTTTAGATCAACTCATCGGATGACCAAGATGAGTTTGTAATTTGTAAATTAAGGAGGGTTTGTATTTGATCTCTATTGTATATAGGAAAAAGATCATGAATGCCCATCCGAATGGACAGGAGGCACCGTCCGGCTGCCGTCATTTGGGGTGGTTCGTGGTGGAGTTTTTTGGTGAAATATTTTGTGCATGTTCTTGATCAATTCTAGTTTATCCACAAAAAAATTCAGCTAAAAATTTGATCGGGTAGGCAGTCAAATAATTTTTTCAAAATAACTGTGTTTTACATGTATAATTTAGCGCAATTGTTTTCAAAAAAAATATTTGACTTCCTTCCTGATCGGATTTTTAGCTAAAATTTTTTGAGGTGTAGTTTGTAAATATTTTGAGCTGAAATTTATATGTTTAATTTATTGTAGTTTGTATTTGATCTGTATTACACACACACACTCCCTCCATCCCATTTTAGTTAGGAGAACTTGACTTTTCAAGTCAATGATATCCAACTTTGACCAATTATATATTTATATAAAGAAAGTATTAACAATATGAAAATGTTGTGTGTTGTTGTAAGTATCGACCATATAAAAATGTTCTTTGTTAAAAATACTATCATGAAAGTATAAAATTATTAAATTTTACATAAATATATTAATTAAAATAATTGGTCAAAGTTTAACATCTTTGATTGGAAAAGTAAAAGATGTCTACCTAAAATGGGATTGAGGTAGTGTGAGTGTGTGTGTGTCAGTAGTGATGGCAACGGGGCGGATCGGGGACGGGTACACATAAAACCGGAACCGCCCC